GCTTGAATTTGTGGATGGTACTCAGAGCTGTGTGCTCATGAAGGACTTCCTGAAGATTTTAATTCATTAGATTCACAGGATAGGCATATGATGGTGGAGGAAACCTAGAGGAGACCTCATCCAAATTAGCATCTTAAGTGAACATACTGCCTGTTCTGCGTTGATTGGTTCAAGTTTTACAGGGAAAAGCAAATTTTCCCATCTCTCTCTCCATTTTGAAATAAAAGATTTAAAAGATTTAAATTGATAGCATGTGTTTCTGGGACTGGAATGGAACTACAATGAGAGAAATATATATTTATATATAGAGAGAGAGAGAGCGAGAGAGAGAGAGAGAGAGAGAGAGACAGCATACATCTTGCAAAAGAGTAAAGCAATAGCTATTAACAGTTCCAGTGAACAATTCACTATACAAATAGTATTATTATTATGTTCAGGAAAAAGTCACAGTTTTTCTGGATCTTTGGGAATATTTTGATTTGAGACAACATTTTATCACAGGGAAATTTGCAATCCCAGAGGTAATCAGAATTTGGAAACTATTTCACAAGAAATACTGAGAATCATTCTGCATCTTATCTACATACTACCTGTATTTAAGTATTGCCAAATATTTACAATTGTTAGAAAGTCATAATCTGAGTGATCTCTACCAGAGAATCATAATCTAAGTGATCTTTAAATGCTTGGTGTTTTTAAAGAGTCAAAAGTCAATTTAGTACCAATCAGGTATTTAAAATTCACACCTACATTTCTGCTTCAGTTACAGGAAGTTTGGGATCAGTCTGACTGTTAGTTACCTTACAGACACAAATAAATCTTTCAGGGAATAGAGGAAATACCAAGGTCTAAATAATATGGAACGGTTGTAATGTGAAAAGGCATGCTGGAGTTTGTCAGTGAGGGTTAGTCCATATTTAAAGTCCCTTTGTTCCTAAGGCAGAAGAAAGCAGAATTTATTGGCAGAGATGCAGCTTCTATCAGTAACACACATTCCTGACATTTTCTAAATAATCCACCTTGCCAAAAAGCCTAAATAAACTTCAGGACATTTGGCAGAGTGAGCTGAATCTCTTCACTATAGGATTTTGCTTGAGTGCTTATGTCAGAGGTATGTCTTCTTGATTCTTCTGTTTCTTACATTTTAGCAAATAAAATCTTATATAATCCAGGCTCTAAATTTCACTGTTTTGAATTATCTAATCTTGGCTATCAGTGTCAGTGTACAGTAACATAGAATAGTTTGTTCCTGAAATATCCCTTCAAATTAATTTTGCTTATAAAGTGTTTTGCCTTCGCTACAAAGAACATACCAATGTATCTGTAACAGGCATCTTTTTTTTAAAAATAGTAAAAACTTCTACCTGCAGAGTGGGTTTTGTTTGGTTTGGGATAATAATGTTTCTTTTTTTCATTCATCAAATGAAATGAACTGTGCTGACAAAACTACCTTCTTACTGAGGTAAAAGCTGATGGCCTAAGAAAAAAAAAAAATTATTTGGAAGAAAACCCAATTTTCATTCTAATCTTTTTTCACTCTGAGAGCAGATTTCCATGTAAAAATTATGAAGATACTCAAATACTTTTCTATTGCAACAGTGAAAAATTTGGTGAGAGTAACACACAAGATGAAATCAGGTTTTGGACATGCAGGATATTAATGTGGTAGCAACCATTTTAGTTTATCGTGGGTATCAGCCATGAGATGGCAGATTTCTACAGCTGGAGTGATGAAAATGCTTATCTGGGCATTTTGGGAGACAAAGAATAACTGAAAGTGTGGCAATGGATCCTGACTGATTTTTTAGTGTTGGGAATTGAGAGGGAAATATGTCATGCTCATTCACCAGGGGCCTACAGAGCATGCTGGCCTCTAAACATGTATAGCTTAAAAATACATTAATATTCTCACTGGCTGCTTAAAATCAATTACTTTGATGGTTCATAACTGTATTCACAATATTTTACAATTGTCTCATACCTGTAAAGTATATATGCAGCTTGTTGAAAGAGGTCTTGCACTTTCAGTCCAGGCCTGTAATGCCAAATCAATGTATCTCACTTCTGTCAAACCTTCTGTGTACTGCATGACTAGGATATATTGTGATAATGTATATTAGTAAGGTAAATTATTATATTATATATATTAATATTATAAAAGTATAATTAATATTAATATATAACTTCATAGTCTTACAAGCCAACACAAAAATATGTGCAAAACTTTGTATTAGCAAAGGAGACATAACCACAAATAGTGTCAAAAGTGTCAGCACAGAAAAGCTACATCACCTCTTGGAGACACTCGAGAGCTGGCTTCATCCTCCTGCTATGTGACTAGATAAATGCTTGTTGTGTGACTGAAAAGCAGTTCATAGAATAATGAACATCTGGAGGTCACACAGACCAAGCTTCATCTCCTTGGGGATAGCACTTAGGATTCTTTTTCCCTTATCTAACTGTAATTTCCCATGATGCAGCCAGTGTCTGTTGTTCGGATTTCTGCTGTGTCTCGCTGAGAAGTCTTCTCTCCCTAAGGCTGACCTAACCCTGCTCACTCAGCTTGTCCTCATACCCATGTGCCCCACTGCCCTTGTCACCCTGGTGGTCCATGCTGGGTGTCCGTGTATTTCTTGTACAGGGGAGTCCAAAACTGAACACAGGACTCCAGCTGCCGTCTCACATCTGCCAAGCACACCTGCCTTGACCTGCTGGCCCCCTCCTGCTAGGACACCTCCTGCTTATCACTGCGCACATGATGGACTCAAGGGATGTGCTACACGTTTAAAACTACTTCAAACAAGCATGCAAATCAACCTTTTCCCCTTATTCTCACAGCAAAACCCAAAATTAGTGCCATAACTGTCTGCGGTATAGATTTTCCTATTAACAACTCAAACAGAAGCATTGTACTCAAAACTCAAGCATTAGTACTCGTATAACTCATTAAAATCCTCTAAAACTTCTCAGACAAGAAGATTCTCACCGTTAAATCCTGTGAACTTAAACAATATCAATATAAAATCTTGCACTTCATCACCACCCTTACAGAAAAAATTTTTGCAAAACTACAGTGCTAAAGGAGCTGATAATATCATAGGTTTATATAATGCTTCTTTTCCTTATTATAGTTTCTTTGCAAGCTTCTCAGACGTGCTCCAACAGGTGATGTATGTTTTCCCTGTCAGCTCTCCTCCCTAACTAAATAATTTACTTTGTAATGTAATAAATGTTGGGTGTATGCTTCCCAGCATGGATGTTTGAATCTAACATTCCATCAGACAAGCTTTGATTATAGGGTTTTTAAAATTATGAATCTACAAGGCAGGCCTGGCACAATTCTGTCACGAAACCAGCACATTGGTGATCTTGAGGTAAATATAAAAAAATACAGTCAAAAGTATACATGAAACTGTATCTCCTTTATGTGTAACAGATCAAGATTTACTAGCTCTCATTTCAAGACAAAATTGAGGTTGGGTATTTCCCAGTGGGGGTGCCTAAATATATCGGGACATACATACAACATAAAACCAGTGTTCATTATATGAAGGTTCACTGTTAAGGTTGAAGAAATCTGAAAATAAAGAATCTTAGTAAAGACTCTGCCTTCCCAACATTACTGGATGTTAAACCCCTCCTCTGCAGATGCCTGTGCTTGAAAACATTGGCCCTGGGACTATACATTATTATAAACTACATACTATTTCAAACAAACAAACCTGCCTCTGTCATCACTGGTAAATCCCTGACAAAGACAGGTTTTATTCTCTATTTAGAAACTGAAATTACTAAAGCAAAATTTAGTACTGTCGTATGGTAGCAGTTTTCCAAAATTACCACCAATGAGAGATTTCTACACCTTTGAACAGTCACTGTTCAAGAACTACCACAGAATAATACAAAGTCCAGTCTATGCATGCCACTTAAAAATTCTATTTAATGTATATATTACACTTCCCATGCAAAACCAGGTTTTACTCAGTATTTATAATTTCCTGTAACACACCAGGCTGATGGGTATCATCCTTTCAGCAAACTCACATAGATCTGACATCTTTTCTGGCCTGGTGGGGCACTTGTTATGACTGTTCTTCCTTACAATTTAAATTGCATACAGTAGCACCAATGGAAAGAAGAGAGACTTTGCCTTACCTTCTTTTACCTTTTGAAGAGCTATAGCTGTAAAGTGAACCAGATTCTCTCAAATTAATATGGACTTGTAGTAAAAGTTCCACCATCTCTCTACTATTTTTTAACTACAGCAAGAAGATTAGTACAGTCATATTTTGAGGATATTTCTTGCTGTGAGCTATAAAAGCAACTGTAAGGCACTCTGTTGACACACTAGTCTATGAAGTGATACTTGTTACAAAAGAGCAGACTTTTTTTGGCAGAGAAGAATTAAGAACAGTTTCTTCCCCTTTTTATGAGGGAAGGAAGGATAAAATATTCACATTTATTTATAATTTAAATTTTATCTGATTCTTCTTTCAGTTTGAAAGATTTCTGTTTCAAGCTAGGCAAGTTTTCCTACATAGGTATTTCCAAAGAACCATGAAGTATGTGTCATGACTCCCCCTATTCTCTCTCATTTTAAAAAATACAAATGAATCACTTTTGGACTCTTGATTTGAAATATGTGGAACACTTTGTTTTTCAACCATCTTTTATGCTCACTTGCCTTTGCTGAGTGCACCACCTCCATAAACACTGGTGAATATAAAAAGCACGTGGCATAACAGGTAATTTCCCAAAATAAGATCATGTAATACAGTAAAAATGACTGTGCACATGGAACAAAAGGAGAGCACAGACTCAGTCCTGAGTGTCAGCTTTAGCAATGGAACCCTGTTCCTGAACTTCAATGTAGAAACCTTTATGTCAAATGAGTTGAACACATATTTATAGACTGAAGTTCTAGGACTGGTTTTCATGCTAAATAAAAATACAACCACTATAAATATGAGTGTTAGAACCAGAACAAAGAGAATTATGGGTAGAGCAACATGATACAGGTTTATTTCTTAACTGGCATAATATAATAAATGACTGATGGACAGTTGCACTGACCTCTTTAGAAAGACAAAGTTCTTTCCATATTTAGCATACTGCCTTTCTTCCTGCTCTAATGCTTTAATTTTATGCAATTTGCAGTGCAGAACCAAGAATGAAGCCTGCATGATGTGCAGTGCACCAAATCAATCAGACAAGTCTACTGTCTTGCAGACATCTCCATTCTTTTTAGTGTAGGGAGAATTCAGTATCCACGAAAGCTTTTATTTGCCTGTAGTGAGTCAGGAGTTGCTCAGGCAGGCTGCATTAGCCAAGATGGAAACACAGAAATGGGTGCTTGTGGGCACTGGTCTTGGTGTCTCCTTCCAGGACTATTTATGCATTTTGAAGCATACAAACTTGGACAAAAATCAACAGAGGTATTTGGAGTTGCATCCAGGACTAGGATTCCTCTTCTGCCCCATCCAAAGGCACACTTTATCACAAAGGTATGACCAGATCCTTCTGCCCTTGTGAATTTTGCATTGCTAGCTTCATGGCTGCACATGAACTTCGGCAGAAGACCTGAAAACCTCTTGCCCAGTCCAGAGCTAAGGCACTCTCTGGAAAAAATGGCCTTGAATTAAACCAAGGAGGACAACCAGCTTCCCAGTTGCTTTACATTGACTCTAACTCCTAGACTATTAAAAAAAAAAATAAACTGAGCTGGTCTAAAACTCTGCTAAATCTAAAACAAATTTCAGATTTCACGTAGTCCAGAATACTGTGGATGGTATTGCTGAACTAAGATACCAGTGTTTCCCATGGCATGAAATTCCCAAGTCCTTTTGTGGAACTGTGACTACATGTACAGACAGTCACAGGAAGGGAACATGTTTTCAGAGCGATGACTTGGAACCCAAGGCACTGTGACAGCTAGAGAGTCTGTTTTAAAGCAATATTTAATTCTGGTGATTCACAGACATGATGCTTATAAACACATTTTTCTAATCTCTCCCCCCGCTCTCCATTTTCCTCTAAAATTGATGAGTGTTATATCATGTTGTCTGTTACCTGTCATAAACCACAAAATAATCTGAAAGCATGACCAGATCTGATATCTGTAAATCTCAAATATTCATTTTCTTTGTCTAGTTCGAAAATTGTTTTGCATACAAGAAACAATCTAACACTGAGGTAACATTATGAAGAAATCATAACACTGTTTCAATGTATCACAAATGCTCCTTTAGAATAACTTGCACTGACTCATGGCAAGATCCTTTGCGGTGACTAGCTCCTCACAAAACTTCGGTAAATAGGTCCCATCTGGAACACGAGCAGCTCTGTGCTCTGCTTCCTGATGATGCAGCACATCAAACAAAGCCCCCAGACACTCCCCACTGCAGGCTCGCTGTCTGTCTGGTGGTGGTCATGGAGCCAAAACTGTGAGAACCAACACTGTAGATCAGAATGAGCAGGAAAAATGGTATGAAAATACAAGAAGAATACATAACTAAGAATGCCTGCTGCTGCATAAGAGTCTTAGATTTCACAGCTTAATTCCTATTCCTGCATTTTAAGTGGGTAATTTTCTCCATCCAGTACAGTTATAGATCTTCCCTTAAAGGCTTTTTCCTGTGGCAAGTGCACACTGAGTCCCTGTCATCAGGCTGAGGTACAAGTTCCATTCCATCCCGTATTTCAGGTTTGCTGGCTTGGCGTTCGGCATATTTCTGAAATATGTAAACAACATTTAAGAATGCTGTAAGCACCAACATATAATTCAAGAAGCAGAATTTTCCTCCTCCCTTCCACTCAGAAGCCTACCTTTACCAAGGCTCCTTATGCCATTGTTCACAGCCTATGCACAAGGTGTCTTTGTAACACACCTACTAATGGGCTACATTGCCTCTGAAAACCTCCTGTCATGTTTCTGCCTATTATTATGGTAACTTGGATATTGTCATCATCTGCGCCTAACCACTTTACACAGATAATGCATAAAAATATCGTTTTTGTGCATTGAACAGTTTCATCTTTTGTGTTAACCTGTGGCTGGTGAAGATGACATCTAAGTGCACAGCAGTACAGGAAAAAGATACTTTCAGAGAGGAGAAACTTTGTTCATTAGAAATTTGCATTTTCTAAGGAAGAAATGACTACTGGGCCTGCTTCATCCCCTACACTCAGTACTAAGTCACACCTCTGGAACTTCTTTTCCATATATTCATTGTTTTGTAGTAGAGTAGCTCAGAAGTATGAAGGGAAAAAGGAAGAAAAGTGGATATACAGATTATCTCCTACAGAGATCTACTGGAAACCAAATACCAAGTGACAATGAAAACAGGGCTGACTGGGGACGGGGGCAAAAAAAATTCCTGATTCTGTAAAATAACCATTATGTCAGGTAGATTCTTTAATTAAGAATCAGGGTTTAGCAAAGCTCTTCACACTGATCTATGAATAATATATCTGCTAGTGATTTAAGTAAGGACTGAATATGAAATTTGTAGCATCAGTAGCAGCTGGGGGGAGAGTAATAAAGTGATCTATTGTACTCACCTGGAGCACTTTATAATAGTAGCAGTAAAACCTGTGAGGCTGAAGTAATTCTCTTGCTGTTAGTTGTCCTTGTTTAGCAATTTTTCTTGCTTCCTCATCATTCTCCTTGAAAATTCAGATGAAACAAATGAATAACAGAGCAACTCAAAGCCTGACTAGCATTAGAAGTTTTATTAAATGGGTTATTCAAATCTGCAAAATTAACTACAATTACTGGTAGATTGCAAAGGCATTATTAAAATTGCAGATTTGTTTAAAAATACTGGATTGCTTTTATTGTCACTACTGCTACCTTAGGGCTATCAATAACAACTTTCATGACTAACTGTACAATTTTGAAAACTCAATTGATTACTGCTCTAGCATTTTGTCCAAGCCTCAAGCTTCTTCAAAATCAGTTCTGATACCTCCCAGATCTACTTAGTTTTACAGAGGACAAAACAACATCTCTTATCCTCTCCAATGCAAGGGAATTCAATGTCTTCTTTTTTAAAAAAAGTGCATGAATTCATGTATTTATTCTCAAGCTTTTTAGGTCTATGTTGCAAAGCTTTTAGCACTCTCCTCTGATTACTGAGGTAGAATTACAGTACTCTCAGAAAAGAAACTCTTGGTGTGTTTTTTTTAACCTTAACAGCACTTTGACTTAAAGCACAAATGGTGTTTTCAATCACAGAATTTATCTGTTTGCTTACAGGATCCCAGCCTCCCACTCTGAGCACGTTACAGAGAGCAGCAATTTTTTGCACATTCAAACAGAACATGCAGTAACTTCTGCTCTAGTCAGGGCCTAAAAAAGCTATAGCATTAATTAAATAGTATCTAGGAATCTGGTTGTTTCTTTCACAATTACCTTAGTCAGTATGCTAAGGCTCTGACTCATGAACTCTTCTGCCCATACTTAAAATGAACACTTAAGTACTGCCCTAAATAGAGATGGTTATTTCAAATAAGGCCTTCCCATTTTACACTAACAACAAAATGTACTTCCTTTATACCAGGATTTCAACAGAGTTCATGCTATATATATATATATATATATATATATATACATATGTATGTATGTATGTGTGTATTGTGCGTGTAAATACAAAAGAAGATACTATTAAGATAAATTTGTTGATCACTTTAAACTTAAATCAGTAATGGAACTTACCTTAGCCCATTTTATTCTCTCTAGCAAGTCCTCTAAGTTTCTCTTAACTGGAACATAATGTTTCCAAGGTTTTAATCCAATATAAAAGTGTTCATAGTACTGGGAATCTTGCTTCAATACCAGGCTGTCACCCAGCAAGAGGTATGGAAACCTGTAAGCTGCTACGGTGCCATCTACATTCACTTGGTATTTGTACTACAGCATGAAGAGAGGAAAAAAGGTGAAATGTTTTGTATCAGAATGGGAACAATGACTGCATAAATTATTATTTTAACAGGCAAGAAGTAATCATGTTTAATCATTTTCATCTTCAAACTCATTTCAGTGTAAAGCACGTGTAGTTTCATGGCCTTCTGGATAATATAATGAAAAAAGGATTTGTTTTCAACATGAGGCTGACAGTCAAGAATCTTTGTGTCACATGAGCTGCCTGATGGGTGTCCTATTGAAGTGACCTGGGATAGAGCAAGGGCTACAGCAGGGAAGGAAATAAAACTAATCTATACTTCAATTCAGAGTAAATTTATTCTGACAACATTATTATATAGAATAACCTGAAACATATTCTTATATAAAATAAGCTGAAACATAATACTAGAAATAACCATGAATGTCATGCCTTGGCAGATGTTCTTGGCTGTAACAGCATTTCTGAAATACTGAACTTCAGAGCAGAATTTCAATTGTTATATATTGTAATGACTTTATACAGGATTCTGTCCTCTTTATATTTTTATTTCTCTTGCAGTAGAATTTTTATGTTGAAGTACAACAAAAATACTCATCTATTTTTCTAATTTGTTACTATACAGACTCTTTCAGACATCCATAGTGTACTTGAAATGGCTGTAAATTGTGTCCATTGTTTTCATATTTACCTCAAATCAAAGAAACCCTGATGGTGAGAAATCCAATTTCTCAGTCTATTAAAACAAAAAAATAAGCCAAGATGGCTCTCTAAAGGTCTTTCTTGGCTTTCTCTACAAGTGTGTCATACTAGGACATGGATTACAGGTGGTTTATCTCCTATGCATGGACCTGTGCTACTATAGCAGCATAATTGTTTTGTTTACTGAAAAGAATTAACAAAAGCATGCTTTCTTTTCAGCTGAAATTAATTATTTGAAATAATTAACTTCAAAATTAATCAGAAACTATAATTTTATTACTACCTTAAAGAAGTCAAAAAAGCCCATCAGCTGAGCCTTCCCCAGCTCTTTTTCTTTTTCTCTGAAGAAGAAATATCCAGTTATTCCAGCATCTAGTAGTTCTGGATTTTCCTTGGATAACTTGACAAGATGGAGACGTTCTTCTCGGCTGTCTCGACCTCTGAATAAAGCCCTCTCAGTTTTGTTTTCCCAGAAGGGGCCTATGAGCAGTGAGTGACAAGACAAAAGCAGACAGCAGTGAAATGTTCAGGGTCTGTTCAAGGCAAATAAAGAACTTGGTTTGACAGTGGTATTACATTTGGAGACATGGTAGGACAGGCATGGTTGCCCATAAACACTTATTCATCACAGGATTAAACTCCCAATTCTGGTTTGAATTTTGGGATGGGAAACTCATACAAGGAAAATTGGAGAATTGCTTTTCCACTCAACAATTTTGTATTTCAATAACTTCAACTATCTTGAAAGCTACCTAAGGGATTATAATAAAATACGTAAGGAAAATGCTAATAATTAAAGCAATTCTCCATCCATAAAGCCTGCCACAAAAACCTAATTTCTTTAGTAAAATCCACCTCTGTTACCCAGCAATTCAGTTAGGTCCTTGAAGAACCATTTAATGATGCCTTAAAAAAGAAAATAAATGGCTATGTTGTGTCTTCTAAACACTTAGCAAGAGTCTGAAGACTTAATCTCTGCTTACTGCATTAACTATGCCCCTCCTCACCTTTCTGCTGAAAATTTCCCTAGAGCACCTACTAAATGGAGTAGTCTCTTACTGTCTCCTAATTGGAAAAGCAGCTGTACTAAATCAGTAAACACACAATGCCTCTAACTGATCATTTAATTGAAATATTTAATTTTAAATCTAATAAAGAAAAGAGGAACTGAGAACTAATTAAATAAAAAGAAGTAACTTTCCACTCCAGTTTTACTCCTTAGGTATTGCTTATGCCTTTTGTTTGATCCCTAAATATTCTTTGATTTCCTGAGGGGGAGGAAGACACGTGTCAGTAAAGCTGACTCCTTTTTCAAAGCCAGAAAAGCAATTCAAGAGATCTTAACTCTGAGGTATTTCTTCATATAGACAATGTTTTCTAATTTGAAAGAGGCTGCAGCATAGTATCAGCTTACTTCTTTCAGGATTCAAATTAAGTTTTTGTAAACAGAACATTGGGCCACAACACAGTCAGGAAAAGGGTTACTGTTTGATTAGAAGAAACATATTTGAGCCCTTGACTGAGGAGAAAGGCCTTTTAATTACATTTAGTTTTCCTTTGCCAGGTCACAGTAGGCATCTTCTGGATACCTTTAATGTCAAATTCATATGTATTGCGATCTGGACTTCTTAAATTTTGGTTCTGAATGATACACCAGCTTAGTGGCAGTGTTGACAAGTGTTTGCACTCTGTAAAGCCTAAGCTGCTTGTATTCAGAGACTTCCCAGGGCACTTTTAACTGAAGACTTCAACACATTTGAATGCAACTAGCTTATTTGATGGAAATCACAGATTCTTTTTAAACCCCCAGTCTAACTCACCTGTATTCCCTTGAATGGAAAGGAGATCATTGGTGACTCCACGCAGGGTTTCCAGAGTCGAGTGGGTTACATCATATGTTGGCAGGATGATATCTCTGGAATCCACAGAGCCACACCAGGAGATGACAGGTACAGGCCCAGGTGTATCATTAACCTTCCTGTGCTCAACTGGCCAGTCTCCAACATTGAGATAAAACTCCACGTCAGGAAGACGAACCTAGATATGTACCCAAGAAAGGATAATAACACAGAGAAGCTGTCTGTCACTCTTACATCTATGCATCAGTTCTCTCATGTCACGCACTCGGTGCACCAACTGGATAGTTCATAGATTTAGCTCTGCTTAATGCATGAATTCCAAGGTTTTTCCCTGCAGGGAAGTTTGAAAGGAACATCCAGAGGCCAGGAAACAGCTCCCAGTTGGGCCTTAGCCCTTGGAGCTTTCCAAGCATTTCCATTACTGCCAGGAGCAGCCCCCACACATTACTCCTAACACCCAGTGTTGTCTTGATGGAATGTCATATCTTATTTCAGGAATTATACATTTGACGATACAACAATTGCAGTACTGCCATATTTAAATATGTTTAGCCTGGATAAGAGATGACTGAGAGGGGATCTTGTCAAGGACAGTTGTCAAGAGGATGGGGCCAGACTCTTTCCAATGGAGCTCAGCAACAGGACAAGGGGAGACAAGCATATACTTAAACACAGGAAATGCCATTTGAATATGAGGGAAAACTTCCTTATTGTGAGGAAGATGGGGCCATGGAACAGACTGCCCAGACAGGCTGTGGATAGTCAAAACCCACCCTGGAGATGATCCTGCGCAACCAGATCTGGGTGAACCTGCTTTGGCAGGGGAGTTGGACTAGATATTCTCCAGAGGTCTCTTCCCACCCCAAGCACTCTGTGGTTCTGTGATATTGCCTAAATAAGTGACATGATCCAAAGCGGTACCTTCCTGGCCAGCGACAGGAGCATTTCATCGGAGAACATCTTGAAGTCTGTGTACTTCCCTAGGGAGCGCCGGTAGATGTGATTATCCAGGATAGTGTAATGGACAATAGCACCTCCTGTTTGGCTGAACTTGGCTGGGATTTCCTTGAGCATTCGCTGCAGGTCAATGGTGGGAAATGAAATGAAGTCTTTTGTAATCTGAGGCTCTTGGGATGGACAGGACATCATGTCCTGCCAGACCTCAGGGTCTTCTACAGGACAGTCACAGTATTCATGATAAACTGGTTCTGTGGAAAACAAAGCAACAGAGTCTGTATTCGTGATTCTACAGCACACATAATTTATACATTACAGTGGCTTGGCATTTTTATACCATGCTTTCTACAGTTTTCCTAGGAAATCATCCTTCCTATAATTTCTGGAATTTTGCAGTGTAACTGAAAAAACAGCAACATTCTTCTCTTTTCAGAAATACAAGACTTTATGTTATCAGGGTGAAATTATTCTGCTAAATGAAGGTCCATTTCTGTGAACCTGCCAAGCACACAGAGGACTCAGAATTGTTTGAGCTGTCCACAGCTACCACAGCCCACGTACTGCAGTTTTAAATATACCCTAATTCAGAACTTTGACACATTACATCATAACAAAAAATACCCTTACCTTTCAAAATATAAGGTGATTGAGCCACATGCTGATCACCATAAAGTATCTCAATTTTCAAGCCTTTTGTGACACTTCCATACATCCGATAACGCATAAGGAATGTACCATCATTTCTATCCAAAGGCCGAGGCGTGTAAATTCTGGTGACTTCTTTTGGAGAAAGTGCTTTAATTACCACTTTAAACTGTGTTCGTCCTGGCAAGAGGAAAATGAAACCAGACAAAATCACTTTAAGCTATTAGAATGACATCTAGTAAATAAAGGTAAGGAGCAAACTCCACTGAATTAAGACCACGGAATTAGTTTTCAGTACAATTTTTTAATTATACCAAGTTGGTAAAACTAGTTTCCAGTGATGAAATATCACCCTACCAAATATTCTTAGTCATTGCACACCTCTAAATGGAAAACCTGCAGGTGTAGATAGAAAGTTAAATATTTGATTATAAGACAGAAGGAAAAGCTAACAGTATTTTGAAGCTAAGATCAGGTTTTATTCTAAGTTTTCAAGTTAGTGCTCTGAGGACCAATAATTTCCTCTAGAGTAAGAAAGACAGAAAACCAAGTTAAAGTAACAGGAGAAAAGAATACTTGCCAGCTTGTGGAAAGGCAGTTGCAGCATGCAGGAGTCACATACAAATTGTTCAGCTTTGGGCTGCTGCTGACTGTCTTGCACATTTTAAAGTCCCAGCTACTGAAAAGCAGTGATAAGAGAATGATAGTAGAGATGTTCCCTGGACATCTGTCTGACCTGTGCTTAAAGATCACCAGCATTTCATCATTAATGCACTAAGATATGGAATAATTTATGGACAATACAAGTATGCATAAACATAAATCTGTCATAGTCTTTAGTTCTATCACAAGTGGTCATTGCCAACTTTACTAATTAAGAAAAAAGGAGGGGGACAAATTATTCACTAAGTGTGACAGTCTAAGCATTATGAACCAAACAAATACAATGCTACCACCAAGTAATATACAGAAACAAATGAAACTGAAAAAATCCAGAAAAAATCAAGATGTAACTAAAATCTGAATATGTCCCAACAGCACTAAATGGTTGAGATGTCAAAGTTATATTCTGCATCCACAGATAAATACACTGATGTGCTAAGTACCAGTCTTTTAATGATTAATCATGTCTTCCTTAGATCACTGGGTCTTGAAATTGGATTCAAGTACTGTGCAAGAATATTTAGATTAAATGACTCTCCCGAAGGAATGAACATCTCTGCCTCTAAAGGTCACGGCAAGTCACAAGCTTGCTTCAAGGTAGCTGACTTCAACCAAGTACCCTCTCCCTATGACTATCACCTAGTATTATTTGGATGAAGAAGCATTCAAATCCAGAGTTATGTCATGAGGTTCACAGAGGAAACCGTTTCCTGTTGGTATCACATCTTTGTCTCCTTGTACCCCTTTTATTAAACAGCATTTTTACTGGGTATAATGATTTCCCACTGAAGAAAAGTAAGTTTTCCGCTGTCATAAAAATGAGTGAATATTGTGAAAAAAAAGTCAAATATTACTGAATTTTATATCCTTGTCCTGACCTACAGGAAGTAACTAAGTGGGTCTTTTCCCCTGCTGGTTATGTACGTCCTGCTCTAGACATGAGGAGCCCTTGATCTGCCCAAAGGATATGTTGGGTTTAGCTGGTGGCACTTAGACATAGGAATCATTTGATAAGGGAAGTGACTGATAACAAAGCTCCCAGGGAAAAAACTAACTCCACTGAAAGTGAAGGGGAAGAAAAACGAGACTGAGTGTCTCATGTAAGTACAAATAATTCATTGGAGGAAACAGACTTCTTGTTTGTAATTTACAACATTGATTGTGTAATGGGGCCAAAGCCTCCATGGTATACTTAATCATGACAACTTTTTGCTGTTTTTTATTTTTTATTTGGAGGAAGTTACCATGGTGCTTTCACTCCTGTTTTTTTTGGTTTCTCTCAGCCCTAAGGAATTACAAAAAAATGTGTCCTTGATGAATCAGCAGTGCTACTATTTCTCTGTTACCCTGAAAACATGTCTGGGAGAGCATTTTGAGTACAAAATAACTTCCCAGCACTGAAGAGACACTAAAATATAGACACAATCAAAATGGGATACTCTAAGTAATCCAGATAATGACATCTGCTTTATGAATTTTTTTTCTTCTTTGCAGCTTGCAAAAGAGGTATGCCATGCATGGAGGAACAAGCGACGAAATGGAGGGAAAGAGAGAAAAAGCAACAAGATACTACATTTAGGCAAATTGCTAGAGAAGAACAAAAAAATCCTAGTCACCCTATTTCTGACATGTATGCAGAAAAGAAATTAAAAGATCTGAAGGTTTTTTGATTCAACTGTTTTATTGGAATTGTTGCTGGTTACTTTCAAAGATGGAAATCACAAAATCGACGGACTCACTAAAGGGACACACAAATTATTAGCCTATACTTTCAGAGAGCTGGATGCAAGAGCATATATCCAGTAACAAACAAACACAGGCCTTGTGTGTGACCATCACAAAAGCCCAGGGATTGTGGTCACCAAAGGGAGGTCCTGCAGTGCCCAGGCATGAAGGTGACTGAACTGAAATGTACAACTCTGTCTGGCAGCACTGGAACGAGAGCTGGAAGAAGCACGCCTTGCTCTTTGAAAGCATTTGGTGAAACCTACAAGAGTATCTGGGAGGCCTTGAAAAATATTTATTAGCACAGTATCATCTGAACAACAGATAATCTGAACAGATCATCAGAGATCATCTGAGCAACAGTTAACAGCTGATTTTATCACAGACAATAGTATATAAAGACATGGTTGGCAGTTGTTAAATCTAGGATAAAACCCAGCAGAAAAAAGGATAAGGCTTATCCAAGTAGCCAAAGGAAAAAAATCTATGCAGTTTACACTAAAAGAAAGTTCTGTATTTTCAGCAGGGATTTTCTTAATCTTTGAAATAATTTTTCTAGGGAAAGAATGAATTCTGCATCATTCAACAACCTCCTACAAAGGCAGGTAAACAGTTACAGCCTCTGGGCTGAAATTCCAGTGTAATGTGCAATGGTGCATATCAATTCTGGTGAACAGACTACACATTCAGAAAACAATTCTGCATTTAAAATCTACTTATTATGCTATACAAGTTTTATAATGGATCCCAGTAAGTCCTGACCCACTTGACCAAAATTCTAAAGCACATAAAAACAATTGAATAGATTTGGACACATTTCACAAATGTGATGCCTTAACTGTGGTTCTGCTGCTCTGATCACAGTGTTCCTGTTTTGCAATGGGGGTGGATAATGTCAATTTTTTGCTATCTCCACAGGTATATTTTGAGATGCTTTTAGTTTATGTTGGAGAGTGGTGCCTGAATGAATATTGTTAATTGTAATTCTTAATGATGTTTTACAGATTTGAACACTTTACATCATTAGAGAACAGAAGTTTATACCCAGGGTCTCTATGAATACTTTAAACAGTGCTCATGCACTGAGTATGATCAACTCTACCAATAATTTTTTTAGGGATCCTTGGCACCCTCCTAAACAGTTCTTGGCATGGGACAGCAGCTAGCACAGGCCGAGGCAGAAGCTCTTCCCTGCTGGCAGCACTCATGCTCTGTCTTTGACTGGAGGCCACAGCAGGTCACAGGATGAATGGAGATCACTCCATGCCAGATGGCATTGGGACTTGGAAACTTTCCTGGGACACTGAATTTATTAACATAAATAAGAACACACACGAACACACTGCAATCAAAACTAGGTTCTCAGTACCCATGTCCTCCCACTTTACCTTGGAGGACTTACACTAGCATGAGAATCCAACTGAACTTCATGCCTTTCCACCTTTTCCAACCTGTTGTTTGAACCCAGGGCTCTCCCTGTGCAGCTGCTATCAGCCTCCACCCCACAGTGCAGTCGCATTCTGGACTGCAATTACAAACTGTGCTGACATCCAGCACCAAGCTGCAACAGCAGATGGAGAAAGCTCAGACCTGAAATATCTGAAGTATCCACACTCCTGTCAGACTGAAGACATCCCCTGTATAATATATGGCTACTCCTTAATTCTGCAAGCAGCAGCTTTCTAACTAACAAGACATGAAGAGGCCATGCATACTTGGTAGCTGCCCTCTCAGTACCATCTCTGTGAACAGTAAATAATACACAGCAAATTAAATAGCTTCTACCCTATGTAAATTAGCAACACAGGATTTCCTCTGGGGCTATCTCAGGGTTATCTTCATTATGAAGTCTGTGACACCAAAGTAATTTTTATTTCAAATTTAAACTATTAATACAGAGTGTGAAGAGTTAACTTGCAGCAGCAAACAGCTGACTGGCATCATACCACTGGCCTGCAAGAACGAGCCCAATTCCCACCCTCAGGAGAAGTGTTGTGGGATGGTTTGTGCTTGTGCTGAGTAAACAAAAATGAAAATTACTCCTTAACGGAACAGCAGTAGGATAACAGAGCCCAGAGGGCTCTGCTGACTGAGACACAAATTTTAAGCAACTGGTGTGTGTGCAGCATTAAAAGTAATTACGTTACCACTTCCCAGCTGTGCACTGGGAATCTACGTCCACTAGCTCCAGGAAGACTGGTTCTTTCTGAGCTTACGGTTTTTTACAGTAAGTTCCAAACTGTTTAGAGCAGACTACTGGTGAGAGCAGAGGAGGCACTGGGCAGCACCAGAAGAAAGGAGGCTGGGACCATGTGCTTCTCTTGCCATCCTGCCTGTCACGGGCGCTGCGGGACCGAGCGCGGGGGGCAGCCCGGGCACAGCCACCACACGGAACGGGGAAAGGAAGGAAGGAAGCAAAGAGGAGGAAGAGGGCAAGGGCCGGGCACCTCCAGCCAGGTTCTGCGGCGAAACCGCGGCCCGGGGTAGGGTGTCCATTCCTGCCCCTGCCCGCCGCGGAGCACACGAACGGTACCTGGCGGGGAGCG